CCCACCCCCTTTTCTTCAAACAAAAACCATTAGCTGCAAGCAAAGTGTGCACAAAAGCAATTAAGCACAAAAATAGTGTAAACAACTGCTGTAGGCAAAACAAAATGTAAATAGCTGTAAAATGGGAGGGGGGGCAAAATAAAATTAAAAAGCAAAACCCAATAAAAAGCAGGTTAAAAAAAAAGAGGCTAACGGTAACAAAAAATAACAAATTAATTTTAAAAACTTGCTGTAAATGGCCATTAGTAAAAATCCGGAACATAACTACATCAAAATATACAAAAAAGCGCTATAAAAAAATCATAAAAGCCTTAAAAAAAACCCTGAAGTTTAAATAGCTGTCATCAAGCCAAAAATAAAACCAGGCCAGTCAAAACCCATCAATAATGTCTAATCAGCTAAGTCATCATGCATCATTGCAAGGGCCTGCAACTGTTTGGGGTTTGCTTAAGCCGTGGTATTGCTTGTGCATTCAATAAATTTAAAGCTCAAATAAAATCACCAATCATTTCTTTCTGTTCACACCAGCCCTTTAATCAAACTTAAGTTGTAAGAGCCCCTGCTGAGCTCCCCTGCAGTCGCCTGTCCCTGGGCTGCGGCAGTCGCGCTGTTGACAGCAGTGTAGACTTGTCCTCAGTCCTGTTCAAGGGTATTCACCTTGCAAGGCACAGGATCCCTTCCTGGATGTATCCCACTGTATCCTACAGCGCTTGTGTGAAAAGGTCCAGTCTCTGCTTTGGAGATGTGGTGTGACATCCCCTGCAGGAGTGGTGAAACCTGACAGTGCCAGAGCTTCAGATATTATAGGAAAAAAAATAGAATAAATAAAACAATATAATCCCCGATGGGAAAATGTATTGACTTTTTGAAACCAAGGACAAACCGTAGAGTGATGATGTTTCTTCCTCCCCTTATACATAAATCACTGACATCCAGCAGTGAATGGAGCACTGGTCTTTTCTCTCATTAAATTGTCTCAAAGGAAAAAGTATTCTGTATTTTCATGGAGAGCGTAGCCTGGAGGGAGGGGGATGTGGCAAGTACAGGCTGTAAGAACCAGGTGTGCCTGGATTGATGGTGGTTTCTCATTGCAGTTTCCTGCTTTTTCAACTTCACCACCCCAGCCGGGATTGTCCTCTCGCCAAACTACCCTGAAGAATACGGAAGCAGCTTGCACTGCGTTTGGTTAATTATAGCTAAGCCCGAGAGCCGGATTCACTTGGCTTTCAATGACTTTGATGTGGAGCCTCAGTTTGATTTCCTAGCTGTGAAAGATGGCGGGACAGCTGAATCCCCCGTGCTGGGGACCTTCTCAGGGAACCAGATCCCTTCCTCGCTGACCAGCAGCGGTCACGTAGCCAGGCTGGAGTTCCAGACAGACCACTCCATGGAGAAAAGGGGCTTCAACATCACCTTCACCAGTAAGTGCAGAATCCTACTTTTCAGGTCAATTGATCATCTTGGGTAGACCACAATGGGAGTAACTCTAGTAATATTAGTGGGGATTTCCTTGGAGTTGCGGTGGATGCAGTTGAGACCAGAAAATGAGTGAGGAGTCAGGACTTAAAGGTTTCTTCTCTGCTGTGGTAGTATAGTCTAATGGTGAGAAGAGTGGACCGAGAAGCAAAATTATTTGCTCAGTTTCCACTGATGAGAACTGGTAAGTAGAGCTATGGGGATGCACTGTGCAACTCTGGCTGTGTCACTGTGCATCCTGCCTCAGTTTCCCCGACTAGATCATGAGAGTACTTACCTGACCGAGTTTTAATTGGTGGAAACTTGTGAAGTGCTTTGCACTCTTTTGGCTGAAAGGTGCTGTATCAGTGGCTAGGAATATAATTTTCTACTTGCACCCTGACTTTTGCAACGATGCGAAGGTAGAAGGAGGGAGAACACGCGACACAGCGAAGGACTGGAATAGACACGGCTATATCTGACAACACACAAATTCAGGCCTTCAAAGTTCAAGTGAATGCAAGCTGCCATAGCAATTTACCCTCACATTATCCTGTAATTTTCTAAAGAACATTATTAAACCTATTCAGCAGAAATGATAAACGACTTAAGTTATAACAGCAGTGAGCAGTGCAGCTAAATTAATAGTCTCTCTAGCTGATGATTGCAAATCAGCTATTCTAGAAAAAAAAAAAATTGTAGGGCTTAAGAAATCATTTGCCACAACTGATTGGGCTGTTGGCTTAGCAGGCAGGGTGGCCTGCTTTGGCTTGATACCTCCGGGGAAACTGTGCCCATGCCCTCCATAAATGTTGCTTTTCATTGCTGTTCAGGATGTTGGGAGGGTGATTTCTGCAGCAACCTGGTTGTGCCTTGAAGCACATGATGGGTGTCTGGGATGGAGAATTCCACAAATCTCCGTCACTTCAGGAAGAGGCATTTGAACCAAATGTTCAGCTGCTCTAAACAAATCCAGCTCTTGCCTGATTCAATTTTCCCCATGTACACCGGCAAAGAAGTTGGCCTTCTCTTTCTCCCCCTGGGATCCTTCCTAAATTGCCAGCCACTCAGCTTTCCCAAGTGCATGATCTCTTGTTTTTCTCCCATTAGCTGGCAAGATTAAAAAAAAAAAAAAAAAAAAA